CGAACGGGGAGGCAGCCGGGGCCCGAAAGAACCCCAACCCTAAAAGCAGAAGGGAGAAGCTTCTTCCAGTTACGCGCCGTAAATAAAGGCAAGGCCTTTGCTTTTCCCGTCCCCTTAACCTGCTTGTAACTAAAACCGCTCCAAAGGCTGATCCTGCGGGGGTATTCTGGGGAGAGCGGAAGGCCACGCTGCAGGAGGGACGCGGTGGCTCTTGCACAAGGCAGCCGTTCCCAAAAATCCCGCTAGTTGGGGAAAGAGCCCCGTGTGCTCTCGCCCTCCCCCAAGACGCTTTGAGCTCCATCCTCGTCCTCCGCCACCCTTGGCAGCGGGGAGCGACCGGCTGGATGAACTCAGCCGGGGCTCTCTCCGGGTGTTTGTTTATTCTGGGCGATTCTGCTCCTCCCCGCACAGGGGCTTTCCAGACGGTTCCTGTTTATTTTTGAGAAAGGAAAGACCGCGTCAAGGAATTGGTATGAGCCGGAGCAGCTTTCCAGCCAGCCTCAAATTCTGATTTTTTTTGCTGCCGCCCCCCACCCCAACCGTCAGCTCCTGGGGGATAACCTCTCGCTAGCACGTCCGCCTCCGTCTAGCGCCGTGATCATTATTTTATTTTTGCAATTAATGTGTAGCAGGAGGGCAGGTTTGGCTTAAATCCCAACCTCTCCGTGGCTGGGGAAGGTGTTGGGACCTCAGGAGATGTCATAGCCAAGCAGCCCTGCTCCGGCCCGGCTTTCTCCCAAAACTGCCAGCAAACGATCCCAGCCTTCCCCTTGCAGGGCGGGAGCGCCGGGCTCTCCGTGCCCCAAGGAGCCAGCCCCATGCAGGCGAAAAATCCCGCTGCATCCCAGTGAGAGGAGCCTGCCGTGCCAGAGGGGATGTTTGCAGGAGGTGTCACGCGCACCAGGGAGAGGGTGGCCAAGCTGCTTGCAGGTCAGGTGGGAAAACAGCCCCTTCCCCCCCTAAATTCCCTGCCCGGCTCGTTGGAAACGAGCAGGGATGATCCCGCGCGGGGACGGCGGCACCCAGCTCAGCACGGGCTCCGACACCCGAGGGCGGGTGGTGAACGGTGCCGGAGCTGGGCTGGAGGGAGAGCAAGCGTCGGCAGCAGAAAACCCTCTCCTTGATTTAAGGTCCTTGAATGACGGCAATTCCTCACGCCTCACGCTGCGCTCTGCCGGCACTTAATTACCCTCACTGGTAAAAGCTGGCCTCTTATTTCCACCTTGACTTTGCTGACTTCAGCTTCCCTGCTGTCGAATCCTGCTTTGCCTTTGGCTGCTAATTAAAAAGCCCTTCAGCGTTCGCCGGCTGCTCCTTGCATAGGTAATTACGGACCGTGCCCCAGCCACCTCTTCACCTTCACAGCAGCCCGGCGCACCGGCGGCGTCCCTCCAAAACACGTGCAACCCCTTCCCAGGCTGCCTCCTGGCAAAGCTCAGCCGGGACGGTATCGCCGCGGCGGGGGCCGTGGTGTCGCCTGTAGAAAAACACCCGGGCTCTGCATTTGCCAAACGGGCCCCCAGCG